GTCTATCTGTCCGTCCGTCCGTCCGTCCGTCCGTCCGTCCGTCTATCTATCTATCTATCTATCTATCTATCTATCTATCTATCTATCTATCTATCTATCTATCTATCTATCTATCTATCTATCTATCTATCTATCTATCTATCCATCCATCCATCCATCCATCCATCCATCCATCCATCCATCCATCCATCCATGAAGCAAAATGACATGAAGAGACAGTGAAAAACTAAATTACACACAAGGAATGTATTTTAAAAAAAAATCACGTTTTAAAAAAACACAAAGTAAAACAAACTGAATACACAACAACATAAACAAACCCACAAAACGTAACAAAAAAACTACAGATCATGACATGCGAGACAAGGGAGATCACTGCTACTCTCAAGCAGAGGTGGAAAGAGTACTTAAAATTTGTACAAGTACTGTTACACTGCTTAAATTGTACTCAATTACAAGAAAAAGTACTGGAATAAAAAAAACTTAAGTAAAAGTACAAAGTACTCTTCTCAAACACTACTCAGAGTATTAATTACCATCCATCCATCCATCAATTATCTTTACCCGCTTATTCCATTTTGGGTCACGGGGGTCGCTGGTGCCCATGTCCAGCAATCACTGTGCGAGGGGCGGGGTACACCCTGGACGGGTCGCAAGTCCATTACAGGGCGAGTATTAATTACTTTTTAACCAATTGGTGTTTTATCCTGATGCATGCTCAATAATCCAGGTAGAAAAATCTAAAAAAGTTAAGTCTGGTCCTCTGGACTGTTTTGTTTTTTGAATGTCCAGAGGACCAGACTTAACTTTTTTAGACAAATGGTGTTTTATTGTGTTGTCAATAGAAAGCATTCAGTTTGATTTACTGTATATAACAGCGACGTCCAAAGCACATTTCTCAGACGAACAATAAAGTATAGAAAAATTACACTAAGGCCATTTCTTTTGTAAACAAATGTAGATAAAGCAGGAACTTAGTTTGTTAAAAGAAAGACAAAAATGTTTTTGAACAGGCATAGAACAGTTTAAACTTCTCCACATACTGTACACTGCAAACAACAGGCAGGTAAGTGTCTTAAGCTCTGACATTTCTGTAAGCAAGTTAACATTAATTATATGAGGAGCCGGCTGCTTTGAGTTTAACTTCACCGCAGACTTTCATCTTGAGCAAGCATGAAGGCAACAGTGGAAAGGAAAAACTTCATGAGGAAAAAACCTCCAACAGAACCAGGCTCACAAAATCATCACAAGATGATCTTAATCTAAAACTCTAGCATGAGGGGCAGTGAGCAATATGCATTATTTTAAAGAATCCCAGTCCTTAACTTGGCTCAACACTTTTCCTCATTTTTAACAACCTTTGGATGATGTCAAAAAGCCTGAAAAATAAACTGAACAACAAAAACAAAACAGTCTCTGTTTGTCTAAACTTCAGCTTGGATTCATAGAGAGCATCTTGCTGTCTATCCATCATCGTCCCTGGCTCATGGGAGTTTATGTCTTTGTCGTTGGACTTCCCGTCATTCTCTTCATAAGCTTCATGTGGCCTGATAAGGTATCTACGGTTCATTTAAATGTTAATATTGTTGTGTTTGTCAAATACAGCTGTAAAACAAACTGTGTGGTATGTTAAAGAGGTTTGGACCACCTGATCAACCATATTATTATAAGAAGTCTGATGACATTCAACCAGATGATCCTGAGACCTCACCGCTGAGGAAGTCAACAGACAATAAAGGTAACGTGCCATTCTTAGTTTACATGCAGTTATGAAGAACAATCTTAGTTGGTGCATTTCTTCTTGGGAGCTGTCAACTGATCACCACCTGGTGATGAGTTGGATCAGATGGTGAGGGATGCCAGACAGACCCAGTAAATACAAACATTTAGTGATTGTTTGCTGGGAATGTCTGGCAGAAGAACTGGTTAGAAGAATTTTCAACTCTCACCGCCAAGAAAACTTCAATTGCATACCAGCTGTTGGCTTGTCAAGCAAGTTTCAGTCTTGGCTGTTGCTGAGGTAAAACCTTGGTGAGACCTTAAACAGAGACTCTTGATCGGATCTGAGGAGATTCAGGCAAACCATTAGGTAGCTGAGGCAGGGAAAGCAGCACTTGACCAACACTGTATAGTGGAGGAGGGGTGACGTTGACCTCAACCAGTGATGTTGTCGGGAGGTGGAAGGAATACTTCTTGAACCTTCTTAATCCCAACAACATGTATTCCATGGAGGAAGGTGAGCCAGGGGACTTGGAGGTTGGCCTGTCCATAATCAGGGCTGAGGTTGCTGAAGTGGTTTAAAAGCTGTGCGGCAGCATGGCTCCAGGGGTGGATGAGATCTGCCCTGAGTTCCTCAAGGCTCTTTTATGTTGTCTTGGACAATCCTTTGCAACATGGAAATCTGGGCAGTTTTACTGGATTGATAAACTAGGGTGGTGGCTCCCCTCTTCAGAAGGGAGGACAGGAGGGTGTGCTCCAATTACAGGGGCATCACTCAATGGTTGAACACAAACCAGCCACTTTGGAGCACAAGCCATTGTATCTCTTGTGCCAGTCCCAAACCTGGGTAAATGGTGAGGGTTGTGTCAGGAAGGGCATCTGACGCTTTTGGCAAAACTGTAATACGAGTTCATCAAGTCAAGTCAAGTCAAGTCAACTTTATTTATAGAGCACATTTAAAACAGAACCTGTTATCAAAGTGCTTAACAACAACAACAAAAACAACAACAATCATCCATCCATTATCTTTACCCGCTTATTCCATTTTGGGTCACGGGGGTCGCCAGTGCCCATGTCCAGCAATCACTGTGCGAGGGGCGGGGTACACCCTGGACGGGTCGCAAGTCCATCACAGAGACACATAGAGACAAACGAGACAAACAACCATTCACTCTCTCACTCACACCTAGGGACAATTTAGAGTTACCAATCAGCCTAACATGCATGTTTTTGGTCTGTGGGAGGAAACCGGAGCACCCAGAGAATACCCACACATGCATGGAGAGAACATGCAAACTCCACCCAGAAAGGCCCCTGGACCGGGGTTTGAACCAAGGACCTGCTCGCTGAAAGGCAGCAGCTCTACCAGTTGCGCCACCATGCTGCCCACAACAACAATCAATGAGAGTAAAATTAAAGAGAAAAAAATACAATACACTAATGGTAATAACTGAAGAATTAATAAAAAGCATTTAAAACATAGGGTCACAGATAAAAGAAAAAACTAGATCAATTTACACTGTGTGAAATGCCTGCAAGAACAGATGAGTTTTTAGCAGGGATTTGAACTGAGGAAGGGAGGTGGCCTGCCTGATGTTGGGGGGCAGATTGTTCCAGAGTTTGGGGCCCATGACAGAAAAATATTGTCTGACTTCATCTGTTGGTCAGTCCATTCCCAGAGCAAACAAGAAGGGGCTCAGAGCTGATCCTTGCTGCAATTCCACCTCTACCTCAAAGCTATCTGTCACTCCTACAGCACATCTCACCAATGTCCTACTGTCCTCATACATGTCCTGAACCAGTCTAACATGTCCTGCTGTTCTCATACATGTCCTGTACCAGTCTAACATTCTTCTCTTCTACTACAGCTTTCCTCGTGCAATACATCAAAGCAAAACCATATCAGATCGATCGAGGCCTGGGTTAACAACGACTACCACCGATGCTGTTGACAAACAGGGTGCCGGAAGAAATTGTGCTATTGTTTGTTGAAGACCACAAGGAGGGAAACATGTCAGGAGACAGAGGGAGAAGAGGAAAGTCCAGAATGTAGGACTGAGGGTGGCAACTCTAACTGTGGGGACAATGACAGGCAAAGGTAGAGAGCTGGCTGACATGATGCAGAGAAGGAAGGTAGATGTTTTATGTGTCCAAGAGACCAAGTGGAAGGGCAGCAAGGCTTGCAGCATTAGAGCAGGGTTCAAACTGTTTTACCATTGTATGGACAGAAAGTGAAAAGGGTAAGGGTAGTCCTGAATGAGTTGGCAAAGAATATAGTAGAGGTGAAAAGAGTGTCGGCTAGGTCGATGTGCCTGAAAATTGATGTAGAAGATCTGATGTTAAACGTCGTCAGTGGTTATGCTCCTCAGGTTGGATGCGATGTGGAGAAGAAAAATAAATTTTGGAAGGATCTGGTTGAAGTGATAGAGAGCATTCCCAGGTAAGAAAGAGTGGTGATTGGAGTAGACCTGAATGGACATGTTGGTGAAGGAAACAGAGGGGATGATGAAGTAATGGGTAGGTTTTGTGTCAAGGAAAGAAACCAGGAAGGATAGATGGTGTTCAGATAGTGGTAGATGTTGCCAAGAGACTGAAAATGGCTGTAGTTAACACATAATTCCAAAAGAGGGAGGGACATAGAGTGACCTATAAGAATTGAGGAAAGTGTAGACTATATTCTGTTTAGAAGAGGAAACCTGAGAAAGATTGGGGACTGTAAGGTTGTGGCAGGGGAGAGCATGGCCAGACAGCATTGTATGGTTGTGTGTAGAATGACTGTTGTTGTGAAGAAGAAAAAAAAAAGTAAAATCAGAGAAGAAGAAAAAATGGTGGAAGCTAAAAAAAAGAAGAATATGAGAAATTCAGAGAGGAGCTGTTAAAGGCTCTGGGTGATAAGAAAGAGCTCCCAAATGACTGGGCTACTACAACAACTGTAATTAGAGAGATGGATTTGAAGGTACTTGATGTGTCATCTGGACAGAGAATGGATTATAAGGAAAACTGGCGTGGAATAGTAAAGTGCAGAAATCTATTCAAGGAAAGAGGTTAGCCAAGAAGAAATATGACAGTGAAAGGTCTGAAGAGAAGAGACAGGAATACAAGAAGATGGGACGTAGAGCAAAAGGGGAAGTAGCTAATGCAATGCGGAAGGGGTACAATGAGTTGTATGGGAGGCTGGACACTAAAGAGGGCGAGAAGGATTTAAACCGATTGGTGAGACAGCATGATCAAACTGGAAAGAATGTGCAGCAGGTTAGGCTTAGCTTGTTAAAGATAGGAACAATGTTCGAACAAGTGAGGAGAATGTGATGGGAAGATGGAAGGAGTACTTTGAGGACCTAATGAATGAAGAGAATGAAAGAGAAAAAAACAGAGGTGTGGACCAGGATGTGGGAAAGATTACTGTGGGCGAAGTCCAGAAAGCACTCAAAAGAAAGAAGAAATGGAAGGCAGTAGGACATGATGGCACATCAGTGGATGTTTGGAAACGTCTTGGAGAGGTGGCAGTAAGGGTTTTTGATTCAAATATTCAGTGGCAGATTTGAAGGTGAGAAAATGCCTGAGGAATGGAGAAGTGTACCCATTTTTAAGAACAAGGGGGATGCACAGAGTTGTGGCAACTACAGGGGAGTTAAATTAATAAGCCACACAATGAAGAGCTGGGAGAGAGTTGTGGAAGCTAGACTTAGACGAGAGGTAACTATTTGTGAGCAGTAGTATGGCTTCATGCCAAGAAAGAGCACCACAGATGCCATCTTTGCTTTGAAGATGCTGATGAAGAAGTACAGAGAGGGTCAGAAAGAACTTCATTGTGTCTTTGTGGATTTAGAAAAAGCATATGACTGGGTGCCGAGGGAGGAGGTGTGGTATTGCACGAGGAAAGCTGGAGTAGAAGAGAAGTATGTTAGACTGGTACAGGACATGTATGAGACCAGCAGGACATGTTAGATTGGTTCAGGACATGTATGAGGACAGCAGGACAGTGGTGAGATGTGCTGTAGGAGTGACAGATAGCTTCGAGGTAGAGGTGGGATTGCAGCAAGGATCAGCTCTGAGCCCCTTCTTGTTTACTCTGAGGATGGACTGACCAACAGAGGAAGTCAGGCAGGAATCCCCGTGGACTATGATGTTTGCGGATGACATTGTGTTCTGTGGTGAGCACAGGGAACAGGTGGAAGAGAACTTGGAGAGGTGGAGGTATGCAATTAAAAGAAGATGAATGAAAGTCAGCCATAGTAAGACAGAGTACATGTATGTGAATGAGATGGAGGCTGGTGGAACAGTGAGGCTACAAGGAGCAAAGGTCACAAAGGTGCAGGACTTCAAAAATTTGCAGTCAACTGTCCAGAAAAATGGGGAGTGTGGTAAAGAGGTGAAAAAGAGAGTCCAGGCAAGATGTAATTGATGGAGAAAAGTTTCAGGAGTGGTTTGTGGTAAAAGGGTGTCAACAAAGGTCAAAGGAAAAGTTTACTAGACAGTGGTGAGACCAGCTATGTTGTATGGTCTGGAAACAGTGGCATTGACAAAAAGACAGGTGGAAGAACTGTAAGTAGCAGAAATGAATATTTTGACGTTCTCCTTAGGAATCACAAGAATGGATAAGATTAGGAATGAGATAATCAGAGGTACAGCATAGGTTGAAGAACTGGGAGATAAAGTTAAAGAGGGCAGACTGCGATGGTTTGGGCATGTCCAGAGGAAAGACAGTGGGTATATTGGTAGAAGGATGTAGAAATGCAGATGTCAGGAAAAAGACAAAGAGGAAGGCCAAAGAGGATATATTTGGATGCTGTTAAAGAGGACATGGAGATAGTTGGAGTGAGGAGAGAGGATGTAGAGGACAGAGTGAGATGGAGGAGGATAACTTGCTGTGACAACCCCTCAAGAGGGAAACGCCGTTGGAAGAAGAAGAAAACTCAATTGTTGAATATCACATTTAAGAGGAACTGTACAGGTTCTGTTCTGGCTGTGGAACACTGTCCCATTTCTTTACATTCACTAAAGTATATAAGGGTCATGGGAGTTTGCTCAACTGGTCTACATTTGTTTATTATTTTTGGAGAGAGTATGGGATTGGGGGTCAGTTACTATGGGCCATTCAGTACCTATACAAGTGGTGCAAATGTTTGGTTTGCATTGCCAACAGCAAGTCAGATCCTTACATGGTGGCTGTAGGATTCTGCCAGGGCTGCCATTGTTACCATTTCTGTTCATAACTTTTATGGATAGTATTTTATAGTTAGAGCAGTGCAGCTTCATGCTACAGTGCAGTCAGGGGGCAGAGGGAGTTTGGTTTCGTAGCCTGATGATTCTGTTTCTGCTATTTGCAGATGATGAGGTCTTGTTGGCTTCATTGTGCAGTGATCTCTAGTTCTCACTGGAGCAGTTCACAGCTGAGTGTGGAGCAGCTGAGATGAGGATCAGCACATCCAAATATGAGGCCATGGTCCTCAGTCAAAAAAGGGTGGACTGTCCTCTCCAGGAAATAAATAAGGTTCTGCCTGAAGTGGAGAAGTTCAAGTATCTCTGGGATTTGTTCACATTGATGGAAGAATGGAGTGTGAGATCAACCGATAGATCACTGCCACTTCTATATTATTGTGAACTCTTTGCTGGTCCATTGTGGTGAAGAGGGAGCTGAGCTGTAAGGAGAAGATCTCTGTTTACTGGTTGTTCTATGTTCCTACCCTCACCTATGGTATTGAACTCTGGGTAGTGACTGAAAGCACAATATCATGGATCCAGGCAGTCTGTATTTCTCTGCACAGTTGCTGAACTTTCCTTTAGAAATAGGTTGAGAAGTTCAGTTCTCCAGGAGAGACTCGAAGTAGATCCGCTGCTCCTCCACATCCAGAGGAGTCAGTTGAGGTGGTTCAGACATCTGGTAAGGTTGCTTCTGGATGGCTCCCCAGAGAAGTGCTCCGGGAATGTCCGACTGGGAGGAGATCCAATAAATGGATGATTCTGTCTGTACAGGCTTTAGTGCAACAGCTGACAATTGTATAACTGTTTATTAACCCTTTGAGCTCTGAGTGATTCAGTTTGATAGTACAATTCTCTCTCTCTGTGTGCCTTTGTATGTGTGCAGGAAGCAGCAGAGAGATCTCACCAGAGAAAACCAAATCAACTCACAAAAGGAATCTGAGCAAACACTTCTAATACTTTTAAAATTTATGCAAAGACTGAAGTCTTTATAACACTGACTCATCAAGTCAAGTGGTTTTGGACGCCCATAACTGTGGTAAGCCAAAGAGGGATATTCAACTGCTTCTAAACAATCTTCAGACTGTGGAAACTACATCCATATTTAAAGTACATTGACAGTTTTTCCACCATTATTCACCTGCAAAATGAGTGCATTAAATATCTTTAGTGACTGTGGCTGAGTTTTTATTTATGTGTTTCCATGGCATCATCTGAACCCTGCATATGTCTCTGTGGTCATGACAAAATTTTCCTTTTTGACTTTATTATTAGTTTGCATGTTCTCTTCGTGCATGCGTGGATTTTCTCCGGGTACTCCGGTTTCCTCCCACAGACCAACAACATGCATGTTAGGCTGATTGGTAACTCTAAATTGTCCTTAGGTGTGAGTGAGAGAGTGAATGGTTGTTTGTCTCATTTGTCTCTATGTGGCCCTGTGATGGACTTGCGACACGTCCAGGATGACGTGCCCATGCCCAGCACAGTGATTGCTGGGCATGGGCACCGGCGACCCCCGTGACCCAAAATGGAAGAAGTGGGTAAAAGATAATGGATGGATTTTATTATTGTGTCTGGATGTATGTCAGATGTTTAGCAATATGTTCTTATAATTTAAGTAGTTTTATATTATTATATTAAAAAAAAGAAAAATAAACTTTTGTTATAAGTCACGTGACTGCATGACGAGGAAGTGAATCAAGCATATTGAGGAGACAAAAAATTAGCATGGGAGCAAATGGAGTAAGACAATTGGGTCTCCTGTTAGTTTAGTTTCTATAACTTGTCTAACTGCTCAACATGGTAATGATTTTTTTTCTGCAACAGTATATTTTTGATCAGTCTTTTTTTTTTACATTAATATCCCCACCACACACACACACACACACACACACACACACACAAACATACAACAAAAGCACACACAATAAAACCCTCCCACCCTACCCCTCCCATACCGGATTGGCTAAACAGACACACATATATGTCACCTGCAGTCTCAATAAAAGCTGTAGTCTCCTTGGGCTCACCATCATCTGCAGCTTCCCAGGTTACAGCTACAGCTGCAGTATCCCTGGACTCATCGTTACCTACAGTTTTTCTAGCCTCTGTGACAGCTGTGGTTCCCACACCAGAACCTATGGTCCCTCCAGTCCTCTTTCCCTGTGCTGGGTGGTCATAGTCTCTTAGGATGTTCATCACCATCGGCTGCCCACAGGATCTGGTGCCCTGTGCTGGAGGGCCTCCCGGCTGCCCACCTGAACTATGGTCCCAATATGGGCAGTCCCCTAGCCGTCCACCTGAACTATGGTCCCGATATTTTTACACGAACGTAAAAGATGCATACAAAGCCGAACCCCGCCCCCACCTAGGACTGTCAGACCACATCTCAATCTTCCTGGCTCCTGCTTACATGCCCCCGCTGAGATGCTCCAGACCGGTACAAAAGAAAGTTAAATGCTGGATCCAGGACAGTGGCCCCATACTGAGAGATTGTTTTGATCGAACAGACTGGCAGGTTTTCAGAGAAGCTGCTGAAAATGGAGGTTCGCTTGATCTTGACCAATACACATCCTCAGTTCTGGGTTACATTAGTACACGTACTGACACCGTCTCCACTATCAGAAATGTTAAAAGCTACCCAAACAGAAAACCTTGGCTGAATGCAGAGGTGCGTACCCTGCTGGAAGCCAGGAACACTGCCTGCAGGTCTGGAAACTCAGAGGAGCTGAGTAGGACAAGAAAAGAGCTGGTTGCTGGTATTAAGAGGGCCAAGGGCACATATGCAAAGAGGATCGAGGGTCAATTCATCTCACAAGACCCTCGGAGCATGTGGAGGGGCATTAAGTGCATAACAGATTATAAAGGAAGGAGTGAACATTGCCCCAAAGACCCATCTCTGCCTGATGCCCTCAACAAGTTCTATGCACGCTTTGAAGACCCGAACAGACCACCCAGCACCAGACTCACCTCACCACCGGATGAAGAGCATCTCAGCGTGACCTCAGCAGAAGTAAGGAGTACCTTCAGGAGGATTAATCCACACAAAGCAACTGGCCCAGACAACATCCCCGGAAAAGTGTTGAAGGAATGTGCTGATCAGCTCTGTGAGGTGCTGGCAGACATCTTTAACACCTCACTTACCCTGGAGACAGTTCCCACCTGCCTGAAGACTGCCACCATCATCCCAGTCCCAAAAAGCTCTACAGTGACTGGTCTGAATGACTATCGGCCAGTGGCCCTCACCCCAATAGTCGCTAAATGCTTTGAAAAACTGGTCATGACTCGCATCAAAACAACCATCAACATCAACGAGGACCCTCATCAGTATGCACACCGTGAGAACCGATCAACAGAGGATGCCATCTCCTCTGTGGTCCACACTGCGCTCAACCACCTGGAGCAAAAAAACTCTTACGTCCGTATGCTCTTTGTGGACTTCACATCCGCCTTCAACACCATGATCCCCCAAACCCTGATGGACAAACTATCCACACTAGGACTAAGCCCCTCCATTTGCAACTGGGTACTAGACTTTTTAACAAACAGACCACAGTTAGTGAGGATCCACAACCTCTCCTCCTCCACCATAACCCTCAGCACTGGCTCTCCTCAGGGATGTGTGTTGAGTCCCCTCCTGTTTACTCTGCTCACGTATGATTGTGCAGCTACCCATCCAGGCTGTCACATTGTAAAGTTTGCAGATGATACAGCGGTGGTGGGATGCATCACAAACAATGATGAGTCCAGCTACAGGCAAGAGGTGGAACACCTGGAGAGCTGGTGCAAAGAGAATAACCTTCACATCAATGTGAAGAAGACAAAGGAGATGATTGTGGACTTCAGAAGGAACAAAAACATCTACACCCCCCTGAACATAAGAGGATCTGCGGTGGAAGTGATCTCCAGCTACAAGTACTTGGGTGTACACATGAATGACAACCTCAGCTGGAGCAACAACACCACCAGCCTGATCAAGAAAGCTCATCAGAGACTCTACTTCCTCAGACGGCTGAGGCGAGCTGGTCTGGGAAGCTCAGTCCTCACCTGCTTCTACAGGTGTGCAGTGGAGAGCATCCTGTGCTCGAGCATCAATGTGTGGCATGGAGGCTGCACAGCTGCAGAAAGAAAAGCTTTGCAGAGAGTGGTGAAGGCTGCACAGAAATCTGTCGGAATCAGCCTCCCCACCATCACAGACATCTACACCTCCAGATGTAGGAAGAGGGCCACCTGCATCATGAAGGACCCCACTCACCCAGCACACACACTTTTTGCCCCACTCCCCTCAGGAAGGAGGTTGTGGAGCATTAAGTGTAGAACCACTAGACTGAGGAACAGCTTCTACCCTGAGGCTGTTAGACTCATGAATCTCTAACTAGAATAATCAATGTGAAAAACCATATCATGTTGCTGCTGATCTGTTTCATGTTGCTGCTGATCTGTTTCAATGTTGATGTGTTCATGCGTGCACATCTGCTCACAGACTCATGTTCATGTTTGTGCTGATGTTCAATGTTTTATGTTATGAGTGCTTAGTGTTTTAGTTTATGTTTTTCTTAGTTCATATCTTAGATGTTATTACTGTTTTCTTATACATTTTATTGTTGGATGTAACTGGGACCATGTGTACATAATTTCGCTCCACCACATGTACCACATGAGGTGCGAATGACAATAAAGAAACTCTGACTCTGACTCTGATATGGGCAGTCTCCCAACCATCCACCTGAACTATGGTCCTGTTATGGGCAGTCTCCCAGCCGTACCCCTGAACTGAGGTCCCGTGATGGGCGTTCTCCCAGCTGCCCATTTAAACTCTTTCCCATTTGCCCTCTCTACATATAGTCCCCAGGCTCTGTCCTGTCGATTTTGTTTTTTCATTCTTGTGTCCCTTTGTGGCCTCTATCCTCATGGTTGCCCATCCCTCCCTGCCAAGTTTTTTTTTGGGGGGTGGTGGTTTGGATGTCAGGGGACGTCTTTAGGGAGGGGATACTGCGAGGATTGTGCCCTCCTGTGTGATATCCTGATGCATGCTCAGTAATCCAGGTAGAAAAATCCAAAAAAGTTCAATCTGGTCTTCTGGACATTCAAAAAAACAAAAAACAAAACAAAGCAAAAAAATCTAGAAACGTTTCGTCTCTCATCCAAGAGACTTCCTCAGTCTGAGGTGCTGTTTTCAGCTCAGTCTCTTAAATAGCACCTTCACAGAGTGGATCAACCAGTTTGCTGCTGACAACCAAAACCAGCTGATCACATGCTCAAGAAGGACCATCAGCCTAACAATGGGTCATTAGCACACTGATGGCTGTTTACTACTCACAGAGGGCTGAGTGATACTAGCAATCACAGCATTGTAAGAGGGGGACAGTTGAACCCGGAGGCCTCCGCCCCTGTTTAATGATGGACGATTTCTTTTCACAAAGATGGCCTCCTTTACTCCTCTCTCAAACCATCGTTCCTCTCTGTCCAGGATGTGAACATCTTCATCCTTGAAAGAGTGACCGCTGGCCTGGAGATGAGTGTAGACCGCAGAATCCTGGCCTGATGATGTTGATCTTCTGTGCTGGGCCATCCTTTTGGCTAGTAGCTGTTTAGTTTCCCCGATGTAAGACTGATCACAGCCCTCCTGACACTGAACAGCATACACAACATTACTCTGTTTGTGCCGGGGGACTGGATCTTTGGGATGAACCAGTTTTTGCCGTAATGTATTTTGGGGTTTAAAAGCCACTGGGACGTTATGTTTAGAAAATAAACGTCTCAGTTTCTCTGATACCCCCTCAACATACGGAATGACCACTGGTCTGGGTCTGGGTTCCTCCTTTTCACCTGATGGCTGACTGGAGTCCTGTTTGGGTTTCTTCTCTGCTTTCAGGAAGGCCAAGTTAGGATATCCACATTGCTCTAGAGCCTGTTTTGTGTAGGATTTCTCCTTCTGCCTGGCTCCCGAGCTAGTGGGGATGCTGTCTGCTCTGTGATACAGAGTCCTGATGACTCTTATCTTGTGCTCCAAAGGGTGATGGGAGTCAAACTGCAAATACTGGTCTGTGTGGGTGGGTTTGCGGTACACCTCGGTTTGCAAATGTCCTCTATCAGAGACTGAGACCTCACAGTCCAAGAAAGCCAACTTGCCTTTTGCCACAGGGCCTCCTGTGTGATGTTTTGTCCTGCTCTCCCTGTTATGATTACCCCCTGCTTCCCACACCTGTGGTGCCCCACAGGTGCTGTGTGTTAGGTCTCATTAATATTTGTATATAAGTCTACGTTTTCTGTTTCTCGTCAGCTGGTCATTGTCTCTTCATGTTTACCTCACTCCCTGTGTTTCCAGGATCGCCTGTAAATGTGAGTTTTGCTGCCACGTCAGCATGTTTATGTAATAAATTTGATTCATTTTACATTCTGGAGTCCTCTGTGTCCTGCCTGCACCATTGGGTTCAACCCTTAAAACACAGTTTATGACACAGTCTTCTTACACAGCACAAACATATGGTTCATGGGCAGTAATAAGAAAGTGTTTTGGGAGACGGTTCTGCAGTTTTGGGAGACAACCGAGCTCCTTGTTCTCTGGGCAGAGGGGAAGAATGTTTTCAGTCATAATAATACAAACATCCATAACCTTTGACCAAAAATTCCTTTACAACAAGGTACAGCTATTTTTGGAAAACCTTGAAAATGACAATTTGTTCATCTCAGATGGGACTGAGTGATCAGCATTCGTGATCAGTTGGCCTTTAGAGAATGTGTTGTGAATGACTCTCATCTACTACAACACCAAAGTTTAGCTCAATATCTGTACCTCCGACTAACATAGCCATTTTGTAGGTTCTATGGTTAGCTGGCTTAGGGCCATTTGACAGTTGTAGATATTCATCTAACAGATCCAGCCATTATCTTTAACTGCTTCTTACTTTTTGGGTCGCGGGAGTCAGTGGTGCCCATATTCAGCCATCACTGTGCGAGAGGTGGGGTACACTCTGCACTAAGGATGCAGAATATTGGATTTTTGGCTGATATCCAATATGTTAAAACTTATTTGGTCAATAACCGATACCAATATTTTATATACTTTCTTTTGTCAAAACATAGCCCTCTTATTTAGGTTTATTTGCTACAAAAATTGTGTAACAGCTGTAAAAGCTGATGACATATAATCAGTAACAGCCATATGATATGCATAGCACATTAACTTATATTAAATGAAAAGTGTTAAATATTATTTATTATCATTAGTCACCTGTGATGCTGTCTCACTTGTGGAGGCGTGTTCCAAGTTCCTAGTTGCAGTGTGGGATCCTTTGCACTCCTGTGCATGAAGGACAGGCTTTTTAAGCTCAAAGTTTTTGTCTATCCTTTGTGTTGCAAGACTAATCATGCTAACGGAGCTAACACTTGACGTCCAAATATCTGTGGTAAAACTAATCCAAGTGCTGTCGGCTATTAGTTTCTCAATGACGTCGGAAATGACGGCTTGTAACTCGGGTAAGGCTACGTCAGAAAAATATCTCTGACGGGACAATGTTGCGAAGCTCAACGTAGTCCAAAAATGTTTGGAATCCAATATCCTCAATTAAACAAAACCTTCCACACTGCCGACATTTTGACTTCTTCCTCTTGGCTGTGATCAGATCAGGTAGGTACGTGTGATGTCATCACATTGTGCTGGCGCTGCAGGCATCCTTGTCATTGGGTTGTGATACAAAAACGGTGCCTTTTATATCGGTGAGTTATTTTGATGGAATGGCCGATGTCCGATATTTAACTTTAACACTAATATCGTCCGATACTATGCCGATAATATCGTGCATCCATTCCCTGGACAGGTCGCACGTCCATCACAGGGCCACATTGAGACAAACGAGACAAACATTCACACTCTCACAATTTTAGAAAATTTTAACACAATCCGTTCAGTGGTTCATGCGATTTTTTGCTAACAGTAGGCTGCTAATTTAATAACCATTTTAAAGCAAAGATTCTGTACTGCTAGTACTGAGCATAATCCAATGGATGACTTTGTAACCAAATTGATAAACTTCAGCTTGAAAACCACTATCAAATATGAGCCAAATAATAAATAAATAAATGCTCACTTACTTATTTACTCACATACTCCCTGAATGTCAAAACAAATGGGATATTGCTATTTTATCAATATGTTCACAACTCAGTGACACAAATCTACACACAAATGCGTTGTTACAATTTTTATTTTTCTTCTTTCGGCTGCTCCCTTCTTCAGGGGTTGCCACAGTGAACAAGTCGCACGAAGACATGACAGTTATTTTTACGCCAGATGTCCTTCCTGACGCAACCACAGACCACTGAGCTACCACAGCCCTCTGTGTGGAGCAGAGAGCTGCTATCTAGGACACTCGGAGGAGCAGATAGTGGGGGTTAAGGGCCTTGCTCAGGGGCCCATGATGAGACAAATGAAGGTGGGGGCAGGTGTGGGTGCTTCACCTACCCCACCCACATTTTTGATGTTGTCGAACCGGGGCTTGTACCGACGATCTTCCGATCACAGGCCCACCTTCTCTAACCTCTGTGCCACCACTCCCCAAAATGTGTTGTTACAAATGATCAGCCTAAAATGATAATAAGACAGATTCTCACTTCTATGAATATGAGTTTTCTTCATTAAGTCCTTGGGAATCAATAATGTTCTCTGTGCAGTAAAGGTCTTAGTTAGCATTCCTAAAGTATTTTAATGCTTTGAAAAAAGTAGTGTGATATTATCTGTGAGTCGTGGCTAAACGATGGCGTTTTCATGGCTTTTTGTAAGAATATGCTTTAGATAAGGACTGAATGGTGCCTTTGTGTTCAGTCATCACAGAAGCACAAGTGTTTATCTGTTGGTGCGCTTGATTAATTCACGCGGGTGACTGTCTTGTTGGGCGGTGCTTCTCAGTAGTTATGGATTTATTACGTTTAACTCCGCCCTCTCAAACTGTCGGGAGAGATTAAACGTCGCACCGTTGACGCTCATTGGCTGACAGCCTCTTAAAGTCTTCTCGTCAGTCAGCTGCTGCTACAGGAAAACAACATTTATTTCATCTCTCGATACTTGTATAATTTGTGACCCCGTTTATGACACATTTGTGTGACCATTGGAAGTTCTCCGGTATGTTTGCTGCAGCGTGGAAAGCGGGACTTAATCTTGCCTTCGAACATATATTTTATGCTAACACATTAAAGCTAGCAGATGTTACGAAGGGAGCGAGCTAGTTAGCAACCTGACAATTATCTTGGCGACCAGCCCGTTCTTTAAATTATTTATGATGGCTTAAAGGTAGAGTGTATTTACAAGGAGTAATCCACCTCACGCTGTGTTTTTAGCCTCAGTTGTTGCTAGCCCATACTGCTAGCTAGCAACAGTTGCTAAGCTACTTTGATTTGTCTCCAAGGTGACGGTGGTTGTCGCTCTCCTCTCCGATCTTCGACCCGGCTCTTTCCGGCTGTCAGCTCCGGTTCAAGTCTTCTTGTGTAGAGGTGGTGTTGCGGATGAGCGAGCCCGCGGAGCTCGGTGCGTGCCCGGCGGTGGAGGTTGTTGCTCGCGCCGATGCGGGTGGTGAGGACAGCATTAACGGCGCGGCTCGATGAGATGTTGGAGCGGGGATGCCTCTTCCTGCTAGACACCATTCTTCTGTGATCGACGCGAGTGCTGCAGCCCAACAAGTGGTGACACATATATGGATAGTGGGGTCGCAGCATGCCCACCCCTCCAAGCACCACTGCTCCCCTGGCTGGAGGAAGTAGCAGCTCTGGAGGAGAGGAGCAGCTCCGGATGTCTGACTCCACCGGCGGCTGCTCTGTCCGCTTCCTCCCGGCTTTCTGCCTGGGCGTGGTGGCGGCAGTTGTGTTCCAGCTGGCCTGGGGAGGCCTGACTCTCACCTCCTTCTTCCTGAAGCTGTTCATCTACATATCCTTCGCCCTGCTGTGTTTCCTGGCTGGGAGTTTCGTCTTGCTGGTCCGGAAGAGCCCTCTGAAAGTCAGCTGTTTCAGCAGGACCAGGAGGCACTCAGCCTCCAGGTTGAACTTCTTCAACAAGCTGATGGTAGGAAACTCGACTTCTCTGGCATGACAAACGTGTAGCGCATGTATATACTACTTAACAACAACTCATTACAAGCATGCGGATCATCTATATACTTTACAACTCATTACCAAAATGTAGAGCATCTATATACTTAA